CGTATTTATTAAGGTTATACTTTCGAACTACGGTTTACTAAAAGAAATTATCTCTAATAGGGATAAGCTATTTACTTCGAAGTTTTAGAAATTACTAATTTTATAATTTAGTATAAACTATAAATTATTAATATTATTTTATTTATAAACTAATAAATAGATAGAAAGGATTAACTAGATCCTTAAAATATACCTCTATTATTATATAAACTATAACTAGAATAATTAGGTAGTACTTCTATTAATAGCCTAGTTCGTATATAATAATATAGTTAATAAAAGTATAAGAGAATCCCCGTTCTACTTTAACTACGGATTCTAACTAATAGTATATAAAAAAGTATAATAAGGACTATAAGCTATAAAAACTATAATAAATATAAGTAAACTTAAAGAGATTTATAAATAAGTATTAATAAACCTTAAATTCGTATAATAGTATATAAAAAAGAATACGAATAGATTAAGGATTAAAGGATTATCCTTAAAAGAGGGGAATAGTACTTATCTCTTTTACTATAATATTAAAATAAAATAACTAAATAATAAGTTAGATTATAAAAAACTTAGACCCTTCGAAATTATTAAGAAAGTCTTACTAGTTAATTACAAATTAAGACTACTAAATATAATATAATACTATCTTATTTTTTATATTTTATTACTCAAGCCTATACTAAAAAGTTTATATATAAAAGATTATATTATTATTAAACTAAACTAACTAGAATACGAAGTTAAATAAATTATTAACTATAGAATTAGGAATAGAATATAAGAATTCCTTATTAAATAGAAAGGTTATAAATATAAAAAAAATATATAGGAACCTATTACGAACCTCTAGAACTCCTAAGAATTACTCTAAAAGTATTAAAGTTAAAATCGAAACTAGAACTCTTAGTTATTATTGCGTTCTAGTTAATTATATTAAAAGTACTATAGGATTACGCCTCCTATATAATAAATAACTTATTCTTATTAATAACTATTCTAAGAGGATTAGGAATTGCCTTTCTTTTTTTAAATACTATTCTCTTTTCTTTTTAAAAACGGTCTAACTTTAATAAAGACTTATCTATTTTAGCCTATATATAGCGCAAGGCCTCTACCCGTTTTTAAAAAAAAAGCTCCTCTATTTCTTTTTTATATTCTAGCTTATTAGCTTTAAATAAAAAATAATCTACTATAAGTACGATTAGTATAAAAAAATACTAATAAGAAAAAAAGAAGAAAAACTTATGATTATATATAGTATTAGTAGTTATATTATAAAAATAACTACGATATATATACTTATAATACCTTAATTTACCCTTTAATATCTTATATTTTCGCCTTAATAAGTAATAAAACGAGTAAGGTATTATAATTTTAAATCCTTACTCCTTAATTTTAAGAACAAGCTTTAGATAATAATATATTAAAAATCTAATAAATATCTTAGTATTTTTAGAAAAACTACTTAACGAGCCCTAACCTAGGCTATAATAACTTACTTATAGGTCTATAAGAATAAGACCTTTAAAAAAAAAACCTAATATTACGACCTAATATATATAACTAAGACTAAGGCCCGCCCCGCAGGCTTATAATAGCTATAATATACTATATATATAAGAGTACGGGAATATAAAATAACTCTTATAAAATAAAAGAACTATAAATAAGTTATATATAAATAAAAAACGGTAATTATATAATAAAATAATTATTATAATTACTCTAAGTAAGCGCTTATTAATATTTACTAAGTAATTATTTAATAAATAAAAGTAATTATTAATAAAGGATATATTTATAGTCGGACTTATATATAGTATAAACTTAAGCCGGGCTTAAGAATAAACTTTTTATAACTTTTTTAGTAATTAACTTAGTATTAAATCTTCTAATTATTTTTAGTTATTTTTATTAAGAACCTTTTTTAATAAGATTATAATTAATTATTAAAGCCTTACTTATTTTATAACTTATAAATATAGCTTTAGGGAAGCTATTTACGACTATAATACTATTTACTTAGTACTCGTAACCTTAACTTTTACTAATATACTTACTACGACTAGCTAGCCGTAATATATTAATTATTATACGTTTAGTATTATATTTTACCTTTATATATCTTTTTATAATAATAAATTATTATTAATAATTATAAAAAAGAAATCTAAGTCGTTTACCCTTTTTTTAAATTTATTAAAATAATTATATACTTTATTAACCTATACTTAGTTCTATAATACGAATTCCTTTTTTATAATCGTTATTACTAAGATTTTATATAGTTTTTATAATTATAATTACGTTAGTAATACCCCTTATTTATAAAAGAATTTATTAACTACTTTCGTAATTCCTAAGCTTATATTTATAAACTATTTATCTAGTTAGTAACTAAGGTCGTTTATAATTTTATAAAATAGGGGTTACCCCTATAGCCCCTTTTTTTTTATAAACCTTAGTTAAATAGATTATTATTATATTAATTTACTTATTATTAAGTTAATCCGCAATCCTATATATCTATACTCTTTAATAGTCTAGGTTAATATTTACTTATTTATAAAAGATTAAGATTCTATTTAAAATCGGGTTTCTTTCTTTTCTTTTTTACCCTAACTTACTAAGGGTCGTACTCTAGCTTATACCTATATTAATAGTTATTAACGTATTTAATTTTAATAAGAATATATTTAATTTATATACTAACTATAATAAATCCGTACTTTTATTACTTAACGAATTTATTAGGGTCTAAGTAATTCCCGCTTCTTCTTACTATCTTACTATTACTCTCGTTTTTACTATTTTTAATAATTATTATTACCCTTTTAAATTACTAACTATCGTACTTATTAAGATCCTCCTTTTTATTTAGTATAAAAAAGTAGGTTTTAATAGTTTTCTTTTTAATAATAATAATAAACGTCTATATTATTATAAAAAGACGAAATAATTAGTCTTGGGATCTTTATTAGTTACTAATTTCTACTATTCTATATATTTCTAACTTTTTAAACCTCGTACTCTCTATAATCTCTAAATTACTTCCTTTCTTAACCTACTTCTTTTAAAGTAATATTCTAAAAAAATAGTTAAAAATAGATATTAAATAGCTTATAAAAAAGCTAGATAGGTTATTAGGAGCTAAATAAGCTATTAAATATAGTTAGCGAGGTTAAGCTCTCTTTTTTATAAAATCGAGGACTTAAAAAACTTATTAAAAATACTTATTATTTTATTACTCGTATTAAGTAAAGTTAATTATTTTAAAAATCTTTCTTCTTATAGTTTCTTAGTACCCTATTTTATATTTTTTAAGTAGTCTTTTTTATAACTTAATTATTATTAAGTAATTATTATTTATTAATAATCCCTTTTATTATTTAGTTAATTTTTTAAAATTAGTAATCTCGTACTAGGAGTTAGTATAAAAAAAAGCCTTTTAGTAACCCTCTAAAAAATTCTTTTTTTTTCTTTTTAAATCCTTATTTTTTTAACCTTTTCTTAAGCTAATAATAACTTTATTAAGAAGTTATAAGACTATTTTAAAGTAGCTACTTTTTTTTTAAGTTAATTTCTAAGATTTATAATATTTTTAATTTAATATTATTAGGACCTCTAAATCCCCTCTTTTCTTATTAAACCGTTCCCTATATTATATTCTTAAGTAATACTTAGGGGGTAGTTAAGGGGGCTATAAGAAGATTATTTAAATTATGGGCTTAAAGTCGTACTTAAAAAATCCTCGTAATAATAAACCTTTTTATATATTATAAATCTCTTAGTTTAATAACTCTTATAAAATTACTTTTATTACTAAGTAAGAATATTTATATTTAAAGATCCTTTTTTTTAATTACATAGTACTCTTTTATATTATATTATTAAGCTTAGTTATTATATTAATTAATTAGGTAAGTAATTATTATATAAATATTTCCTTTTACTAATTTAGCTAGTTAATTTTTAATTATAAACTAGTTATAGAAAAATTAGTTAGTAAAAAAGCTATTTAAGACGACGGTAAAAAGCTAGTTATTTAAGTAATTTTATTAATTAATATAATTTAACGTAATAAACGTCGACCTTTTATAAGTAATAAAGGGCTATAATTATTTAATTCCGTGCGGTATTTAAAAGTTGCCCCCTTTTTTATTTATTTTTATAAAGTTAATTAGTACGAATCTTCTATTCTATATAGTATTAAGAGATCGTCTTTTTTATATAATAAGATACCTTACTAATTTATAATAATAGAATTTAATTACTAATTAGTATTAATATCCTTATTATAAAGTAGTTAGTTTAAACCGTAGGTTAATAAAAAGATTAATTAAACTTATATAAATTTTTATATAAGTATAAAAAAGAGGTTCTAACTATAGGTTAGGCTAGTTATAATAATCGTAAATAGGGCCCCTAATTAGCCCCTGCGTAGTTAGCTATATACTACGGTCGAATTAGATTTCTAATCCGATAATAGGGTTCCGTTTAGCTTTTGATCCGAGAATTGCCTTCTAGCTAAGTATATAAGGTAAGAGAGGTCTCCCTACTAAAAGCAGAATTTCCAAGTTAGTTATCGTTATACCGATTTGATCTTCTAGTCCAAACTGATTTACCGTTATTAATATTAGCACCATGCCCTCCAAAGCTGGCTTCGACGGGTTGACCTCAGCCATATGAATTGCTGATGCGTACTCTAGAAGTATTATAGGCAAGACTGTTATTGTTACTATCGTCTTACCGGATGGTCTTGCTCTGGCTACTGCTTCTGCCTTTGCTTCGCAGCGTCCGGAGCGCCTCATTCTGGCGGGCCGATCACCGGAAAGGGTCAGGCCTCAATCGCCACTTTGAAAGCATCCTACGCAGACGTCCAGTATGATGCTCTCATTATGGAACTGTCGTCTGTAGCACCAGTACGCGCTGCTGCCATCAAGACCAATAAAGACAGGAGAGTTCCTACGGCTGGAATTGTTGTCAATAACGCGGGAGTGATGGCCCTTCCGGACCTTCAACTTTTCAAAGTTGGCATCGAAATGACATTTGCCACCAATCACGTCGGCCACTTCCCCCTCACGTACCACATCCTGCCAAAGATTATAAAGGCAGTAGAGATATCTCCCATACCTACTAAAGATATCAATATCAGCTCCTCCGGACACCAAGTCTCGCCGGTTCAGTTCTAAGACATCAACTCAGCAAGATTCCTGAGGAAATTTCCGAAGAAGAACTTCTGATCTTAAGAAGGAAGCTTCTTGACGGGCCAAGATTGGTCCGACAAGTCTTACGTTGGTTTCCTGTCATACGGCCAGTCCAAGATGGCCAACATTCTATACTCGATGTCACTTACTCAGACGCTGGATGCCAAGTATTGCATCGGATCCTACGCTATCCATCCCGGCGCAGTCACCACAAACATCAATCGTCACGCCAAACCGGAGGAGATTGAGCAGGCACTTAAGAGGGTCAGGGAACTTGGATTCGAGGCTCCTGCTAAGACACCAGATCAAAGCGCCAACTCCTCAGTTCTCTCTGCCGTAAATCCTTAATTACCGAGCCCGGACCTTTCGAGCCTTGGATCAAAGGGCTTTTACATGACTGACTACAAGCTTGATGACGAGCACTGCGCTGGATTTGCGAGAAACCTAGAGTATGCTGACAAGCTCCGGGCGCTGAGTGAAGAATTCAATGTTGATCAAAGAAAAGTTTGATGTCTAGATACTTTACTTAAGGGAGGATACTTGCGCTACGCGTGTCGAACGAGATCTCTTAGTCAACTTCTCAAATTACCAGGCGACTCAGGGATATTAACAAACGCTATCTTTGAATAGTTCATCCCGTTCCAGGGCATGCAACTTTTACATATGGGGAGAGCAGCATCGATCAAGGCGGCGGATTCAGCAGAGGCCCATAGAATTAGCAATCTATCAATTAGGTTATGGCTTAAAAGTCAAGCTACGTTGCCGTGTAGAACCATTAGTGCACGCAGTTAAACACGAGATTCTAGATGTTACTTGATATAACTTAGTACTTATGAATAGAGTCAATGCTCTTAACGTAGGCTTAACAGCCCATCCAGATTAGCATCGGATTAACTTTTTACCGACTACTTAAGAAGGTCTTAAAGTATATAAACATCTTATTACCATAATTTCAAGTTCAAGTAGACGCTATCGAATACGATTAATAACGATATTTTCAATTTAAAAAGGCCTCGTTAGTATTACCTACCTAAAGTAGATTATAAATAAATACCCTTCTTATAAATAGGCCTAAAACAAGATTAAATAATCTGTTATTCGGTTAGATAAGAGAGGGTCTAACATATTTACGAAGCTTTTATAGCATTTTATATAATTTTAACTATATAGGGATTTATTATAAGCTTATTAATTTTATGTACTTAAATGAGATAGGTTCTAAATAAGTTAAACTACCCACTTTTAGCCTACCCCCCCTTTTAGCCCACCCTAATTTCCTTCTTAGCTACTAATTAAAAACCCTACTTACGATTTTTAATTTAATATAATAATTATAAAAATCGTCTAAATAAATTTCTTTTTTATATACTTATTAATCTATAGTTAATAATATTATATACTAAAAATAAAGTCTAATAGGCTCTTAAAGCTATTAAAAACGGTCTCTTTCTTAAGAAAGTATTATAACCTAATATATATAACTAAAACTAAGGCCCGCCCTATAAGCTTATAATAGCTATAATATACTATATATATAAAAATACGACAATATAAAGCAATTTTTATAAAATAAAAGAACTATAAATAAGTTATATATAAATAAAAAACGGTAATTATATAATAAAATAATTATTATAATTACTCTAAATAAGCGCTTATTAATATTTACTAAGCGATTATTTAATAAATAAAAATAATTATTAATAAAAAATATATTTATAATTAAACTTATATATAATATAAACTTGAGCTAGGCTTAAGGATAGACTTTTTATAGCTTTTTTAATAATTAACTTAATATTAAATCTTATAATCGTTTTTAATTATTTTTACTAAGAACCTCTTTTAATAAAATTATAATTAATTACTAAAGTTTTATTTATTTTACGATTTATAAATATAGTTTTAAAAAAAAGCTATTTATAACTACGATATTATTTATTTAGTACTCGTAGCCTTAACTTTTATTAATATACTTATTATAACCCCTTTAGGGTCTAGTCCGCCTTATTAGGGGCTAACTTTACCCTCACGGGTAAACTAGTCTACTAGGGTTAATACTAAGTTTTTATTACGTAACAAACTTTATAACTAATAATAGCCGGCCGTAGCTATTAATACTAACTAAACTTAAAATATTAATAACCCCGCTGCCGCAGTATATTAATCGCCCTCTAAATAGCTAAAAACTACCCCTTATTTTCCGCCCTATTTAATAACTCTAGAATATCCTTTTTAATCCTTCCTACTCTACTCCTACGCTACGTTTTTAGAATATTAATAGTACTTTAGAATCGGTTAGGCATTTCGAGGCTATTATATTATATAAGCTAGGCACTAATTAGGGTAATAGCTATATTGATATATATTTTTCCGATCTTTAAGTCGATAGTATCTAATCCGTATTCTTTAAAACGATCGTACTATAGTTCGGGGTCCTTTAGTATAATACTTATAGAATTAAACTTCTAGTTATTGAGGAAGTCCTAGGGGTCGACGATAACTAAGCGTCTTAGTATTTCGATAGTATATATTTAAGGTAAACGATTCGATAGTAATAGTAATAGGGCAATAGCGATAGGGTAATAGTAATAGGGCGATAGTAACAGACGGTAAGGGAAGCGTTTTTTAATTTTAATAAAAGAAACGAGGTAACGAATATGTATATGTATGCGAGTTAAAGTTAAAAGTGTTAGGGTAAATATTAGGTCGATATTATTTAACGATAGCGACGAGGGTATCTCTAATACTACCGTTATGAGCTACTATACTTAGAAGGGTAGCTAACTTAGCTAAGTACGTAGTAGGCTTATAAAGTAATAGTATCGGGTACCTAATATTACTATTAATAATCCGTAATTATAAACTTTATAAAAGGGAAAGTTTAAAAAAGTAAAAAATCTAAAAAAAATAGTCTAACGAGATAGTAGGAGTATCCACTAATACTATGTATTATTACTATATAACCGATATCGAGAATCGCCCGAGCAGCTAGCAAAAATAAAAATAAAAAACAAATACTTATTATAACTAGCTAGCTATAATAGAGAGCCTCGATTATATTCGGGGTTCCTAAGTTAATACTTCGGAATTATAAAAAAGGCTACTAAACGAGGGTAAGGGCATTCGTAAACTTTTAAAAGCTTTTTTTATAATAAAAAGACTAGCTAGCTTAGTAAGTTCGAATTTAATATACCTAAAGTATTATACTAACTTATTAATAAGTTAGAGAATTCGCTAAGTAAGTTCTAATATCTTAGGGGGATATTAAACAATTTAAAAAAAAATTAACGCTTTTATTAAGAAGAATTTATTAATAAAAGTCTAGAGAAGTTATCTAATAAATTCGCGCTATATTAATAAAACTATTATTAATATAATTAAATTATAGTTTAGATTACTTAATATACTAGAGATTAGTAATATTAAATAGGCTAATAAGTATAATATAAATAAGATTAGTATAATAAAAAATAAAGGAGCTAATAAGCTAGTTTTAAATATAATAGAGGCTATAGTAATATAAAAAAAAGAGCTTAGTTCGCGTACCTAAATAATAATTATTAAGTATATTTTTATTAATAATAAATCTATTAAACTACTAATTATTTATAAAGGAAAGTTAGTATAATAATAATAGTTTTTATTTTAACTTAACTCTTATAATAATTAAAAGTTTATAATAATAGATAATAATTAGATAACTAATAAAACTACTCTTTATTAATTAAAAAAAGTATTCTTATTATAAACTAAGACCCCCCTTATTAAAGGGCTTAGTAAGCTAAACTAGCCTCGACTATTAATACTAAATAAGTATAAGAGTTATATAATAATAGAATTTATATAAAAGTATTATAAAAATAATATTTACTTATTATTTTTATTACTATATACTTCCTATATCCTCTAGCCGTTAAATATAGCTATTTTTAAGCTTATTAAATCCTATTATAAAAAAGAGCTTAGTAAAGAAAATATAATAAATAATTTTACTATTATTAAAAAGTAATACTTTTTAAGCTACTATTAGCTCGCTCGTTTAGCTAATTTAACGTCGTTAAATATATAAAATAAATAAAAAATAACTAAACTATAGCTACTTAATATAACTAAGTTACTTCTTAACTTAATAATCTTATTTATATAAGTTATACTATTTAAAAGGGGTATAGAAACTAAGTAAACGACTAGTAATATTAATAAACTACTTAATTAAGTATTAATAACCTTTATTATTAACTAGTTAACTCTTAAGAAGGCTAGCGAGCTTAGTAACTACTTAAAACTATTTATAGAGCTTAGTCTAAATAATACTACTTAATAATTACTATTTAAAAAAGTAAAAAAAATATTTCGTAAATAGGCCTACTACTTAGCTATATTTTAGTACTAAATTCGACTTCTAGAGGTAAGGGTTAAGTATATAAGGCTTAAAAACCCCCTAATAGAGTAATCCGCCGGGGCCGTACCGTATATTACGTATTAGGGAAAATTAAGTATATTGCGCTCTATATTTAATTATTAATTAAAATAGCTCTTGACCTTCCCCTACCCGTTTAGAGGGCGAGCTATACCTATTTTAACGTATATAAGACCTCTTAGTACTAGCTTATATAAGTAGCTAGATCTCGTATTATATACTCTTTTTTATTAAAGGTTAGGGGGCCCCTTATATATTCCCTTACGTTTATAATATAGCCCGTATTAAAAGGATTTTTAGCTCCGTAAAATATAATTTCTAAGCTAGTATTAATATATTAAATTTTAACGTCTATATTAGCCTAGCTATTTATAACGTTTATATTATTACTTAGCTAAATTCTATATTATTAAAAAGTACTTTATTAATTTTTAAATATACTTACGTTAGCTATAATAGCTATAGCGTTAAGCTAGCCGAGGGTACCTAGCTTAAGAGGGATAAACTTATTAACGAGTATTTTTAAAAAGTTCTAACTTATTAATTACTAACTATATACTAAGAGAGTAGGTTCTTATTAAAATAATAGTTTATATATTAATAAGTTTATTTACTAAATTTATTTAATAAATTTATTTAATAAATTTATTTAGTTTAAATAGAGAGCAGCTTTAAATAATATTAAAAACGATAAAAATAAAAAAATCTTTACGAACTTTAGTATAAGTAATAAATATTAGCCTATTTAGCCCTTTTTTTTAAAAACCTCTACGTTATTATTAAAGTTTAGAACTTCTATAATTAAGGGCTATTTTTAATTATTATGGCCGACTATTATAGCTAATTATTACGGCTAATTTCTACTATTAACCTTTTTAGCTAGTGCCGTTATAAAGTAGCTTACCTATCCCGAATTATATAATAA